TAAAACCGTAGGCAGAGAGAGAGAAGAGGACAACAAACGAGGGGCTGTGACAAACTGTTTCGTCGGAGTTTCACCGACTCATCATATATATATATTTCTCTCTCTCTGCCTACGGTTTACCGGGCAGTTCTGTTTGTGACGATATATGCCCGGTAAACCGTAGGCAGAGAGAGAGAAGAGGACAACAAAAGAGGGGCTGTGACAAACTGTTTCGTATATATATATCGTCACAAACAGAACTGCCTATATATATATCTATGTATATATCGTCACAAACAGAACTGCCTATATATATATATGTATATCGTCACAAACAGAACTGCCTGGTAAACCGTAGGCAGAGAGAGAGAAGAGGACAACAAACGAGGGGCTGTGACAAACTGTTTCGTCGGAGTTTCACCGACTCATCAGGAGGCTGAACCCTCAACAGTCTGCAGAATCCCCTCACTGATTACACTGTAAATAATAATCTACCTTAACCAAAATCAAAGTAGACTATGACTCATATATATATAGCCTCCTGAATCCTGATGAGTAGGTGAAACTCCGAGGAAACAGTTTGTGACAGCCCCTCTTTTCTTGTCCTCTTCTCGCTCTCTGCCTACGGTTTACCGGACAGCTCTGTTTGTCGATATATATACCTTTCTCCTCTTCTGCTCAGCTGGGTCAAGCGCACAAGAGCTTCTATTCACTGTTTTTATCTATCTATGCCATCAAAAAAAAAAGAAAAAAAAAAGGAGACAGTTACTTGTACCAGGGCATACATTAAAAATTGAATTCTGAAAGGAGCCTGAGGTCCATATTGAAGGTTCATAGGACTTTTCCCTGAAAAAAAAAAGAGAAGTACATAGGCCACTTATGCTAGTACATACCATTCCTCTGGGTGAACGACATGGCAAATCCAGTCCAAATTCATGACATAATCTTACGCATGGCATTGTATCTTGAAACCCATTCTACTTTCTTTTCTGGTCCAAGATTATGGGGGCTGCGCCGCTGCGGCCGCGTAACTGGATGGTGAGCCCAGGCAGCCAGGCTTGGGGATCATAAGAGAAAGAGCCGGTCCAAGATTCTTTAGAATCATAGCACATAAGTTGGCCAATAATAATAACCAGTAAGGTCAGAACTGTATGTGTTTCTCCCCCCTGTGCACTTTATTTGCTCTATCTGAGAGACTGAGAGGCCCAGAGAGGGAGATATTTTGAACCAATAGAGGACATCATTTGTACACCCACAGTGTCCCACACCCCAGCGAAACTTCTCTCGGTGCACTTCTTCACAAAGTTCACACATTGAAAGAAGAAGCCTCAGAGAGGATGAAGTCAGTAGCTTTCCAGAGTCTTTGAGAGCGTTGACCTTTTCTTTTGTTTGTATGGTTAAACCACAGAAGTTCCCAGTCGATTGATCCTGGGGCAGCAGCCCGGGGACTTGCATTGGAATTCAATGCGAGGAGGATTCCCTCGTAGTACCAGAGACACCGCACAATGTATGTCCACGTATATCCGCTAAACCCTAAGCTCTACACCATTAGTACCCTGGATACTGTGGATAGAGAGGAAAAAAATGGCTGAGTTATGCGAAGCTAAGGCATAGCTCAGCTATGTCAAGGCTATGGCATAGCTCAGCTACGCCAGTCTAGGCCCGTCTATCTGGCTATGCCAAGCTATGGCAACCTTGTTACATAACCTCATAGGTCATTGGGCCTTGGGCCCGCAGGCCCCACAAACCGAAACTGGGTAATGATCCCAGCCTACATGGTTCACATCCGGGTTGTTTGTGAGGATTTCCCAGCCTCATTTGTTTTCCTCCTTGCAATGGAAATCCTCTCTTCTTCACTCCCCCTCCCCGTCCAAAAGAAAAAGAACTCATAGGTGATTAGCATTTTGAGACAGATGGCGTAGTGAGTACATTCCTTATGTGGATCTCTCAACATCACCGTGCTTGGGAATTTTCGTTGATGCTCAGCTGAGTTAGCTTTTCCGTCACGACGCTCATCTGTGGTCGAAGTTCCGGACTCGCCGAGATGCAGGCCATGGCAACCTCTGCCATGGAGCAAACACCAACCCAGTCCACATCGCAATCGCTCCTCAGGAGTGTCGTATCTGCAATCTGCTGAACACGTTCTGCAAACGTTTTGCCCTTGATTGTACTCTTTCTCGGCTCTGGCACGACTGATCTTCCTGATGTCTCTGAATTATATGTCCTGCAGGTGAGGGGGTGTGGCAACTCTCCGAGCATTCTGGTCACCCAGAAGGCCAGAGTCACGACTCCCAATGGCATCTCTTTGCCGTCCTCCTTCTGTACAGACTGTACCCCCACCACCTTCTTCGCCCCGTAGTCAGCAGACGGCAACCTCACAAACGGTTTCCTGCCAGTTATCAGTTCCAGGAGGACTACGCCGAAAGCGTAAACATCGTTCTTGGTCGTAAGATGGCATGTGGTGAAGTACTCGGGTGCAATGTACCCAAATGTACCGGAGACGTGGTCCGTCTCAACGGTCTCGCCGTATTGCAGCTGACCAAAAACGCTGTTCCCCAGCTTCGCCAGCCCGAAGTCTGACAGAAAAGCCCTGACCGCCGGCCGCCTAGGTACTCCCCCGTCCCCTCCCTGTCCCCCACCCTCTCCCCCTTCACATGTGGATGCATCCCCCAGCAGCACGTTCTTGCTCTTTACGTCTCTGTGGATGACCGGCGGGTCTACTTCTTCGTGTAGATAGCGCAGAACTTTACCAATCTGCTGCGCAATGGAAACTCTATCCGGCCAGCTCAGTGGTGCCGGCCGCCACGTACTGCTGCTGGACCCGGAGCTGCTCCTGCTGCTGCTCAGATTGCAGTGTACCCCTGCCACTTGGCTTTTCACCGGATGCTCGTTGACGCTGGCCACCTCGTCGCCGCCGGGTTGCTGCCCAAACCATCTGCCGTTCCACTCCTCGTTGTGGCTGAGGCCATGCTCAGTTGCAGTGGCCTCGCAAGCCGTCGGCAAGCGGTGCAGCCGCTCATACAGCGTACCTCCCTCTGCAAATGGAGAGTAGATGATCAACGACTTCCTGCCCTCTGCACAGTAGCCTATGATGTTGCACAGGTGGCTATGATGAAGTGGGCCCAGCACATCTAGCTCCGACTGGAACTGGCAGAACTTTGACTCTGAGAACTCACCTTTCATCATCTTGACGGCCACTACTTGGCCGCTGCGGAGCTGTCCTCTGTACACAACAGCTGCTGCCCCCGAACCCACCACTCGTGAAGAGCTGAAATTGTCACAAGCATCCCGGATCTCACGGAATGGGTACTGTTTCACAGGGGCAGATGGTGTCAGTGAGTACTGTTTCACACGGGCAGATGGTGTCAGTCGAACCACGCCTCCATCGCATCGGATAGACCAGTGCTGCCGACCATTCTCATAGCTCCACACGGAGGAGGACGACCTGCCTCGAGCCTCACATGGCGAGAACCAGCATGCCAAGCAGTGCCCTTTTGCCTTCATTATGACCACAACGAGGGCTAGAAAGAGGAGGACTGATGCCGCAACCCCAACGAAGATTGGCACTGAAAGACCAGACGAAGGAGGAGGTGAAGTTGTAGGTGAGGAAAGATCTAAGGAAGAAGCTGCTGGAGGAGGTAGAGGACGACCTGAATGAGGTCTAGCAGAAGTGGAAGGAGGAGCTGATTCAGAAGAAGGGGGTGAAGACGAACTAGAGGGAGGAGCTGAAGAAGGGGGTGAAGGAGAACTGGAGGGGGGAGCTGAAGAAGGGGTTGAAGAAGAACTGGAGGGGGGAGGTGAAGAAGGGGGTGAAGAAGAACTAGAGGGAGGAGCTGAAAAAGGGGGTGGAGAAGAGGTGGAGGGAGGAGGAGCTAAGGAAGGAGGTGGAGGTGGAGGCGGAGAAGTAGTGGAGAGGGGAGCTGAAGAAGGGGGTGGAAAAGAGGTGGAAGGAGGAGGTGTAGAAGGAGCTGGAGGATAAGATGACGGCGATGAATTACTACTAGTACTAGGGGCACCGCAAGGAGGCAATGCCCATTTATTGATTGCAAACTTCCAAATCTGGTAGCATGGTCGTCCTATATAGAGCGCCTCGTCGGCCGCAGAGATCGCCATTCCAAACAGTGTCCAGGTGCTTCCTACGACTTGCCGACCTGCCTTGGCTAGTGTTCGAAACCTGACTGCAGGGCCCCCCTTGTACTGGAAGGAGACCAGATGCAGTCCTCCTTCCTCAAGATCCGAGACAAATAACTGGCATCCATCCGATGTCAAAGCCAGCCCTACGGGCCTCGTAAGCACCGCGTCCAGTAGCGATCCGCTGCAAGCGACCACCTCCACCGCTTGGGAGCTCGTGTTTACCCTGCTGATGACGCCATAACCTGCCACGTACAAGAGCTCGCCGTCGGCAGAGATGGCGGACGAGCTGACGTAGGGCTCCCCGTAGGGTTCACTCCAATTCTCCACCTTTTTCAGCACCTTCTTGGGGCAATTCCCTACCCCAGTGATATTCACATTGGGGTGTACGATCCACCTCTCCAACGCCGGGGTCTGCCCGCTGTCCACTGACAGGTTCATTCGGTACAGCCCACTCTCTGCCGAAGCGTACAAGATGCGCTTCTTGGAATCGCAAGCCAAACTGAGCATGGTTTTGTTGGAAGTGATGTCGCTGTAACTTAGACTCCAGAGCAGAATCGAACCGTTGTCCACGTTGTACGCACTTAGACGGAAGGTCGTCGGCTCCGCTACTATTGCAATCCTGTTCGGAGGTGTGCTATTTTTAGCCGCCGACAATGCCATCCCATCTTCCAGTATTGTGAATGCCCTCTGATCACCTTGGCCTCCTGCAGGAACCCAAGGCCCCAACACTCGGGTGACAGGACCGGGTGGCTCCGTTGGCTCCACTTTCCATAGCCCATTGCTCAAGAGGAAGAACAACGACCGGTCCGCAGGGGAGTACGACAGCGACCACACGTCCGACCAATCCACCTCAGTCGTGTTGAAGTCCGCCTTGAAGTCGTTCGTCGGGTTGGCTCGTACCGACAACTCATTGAATTTGGTGTCAAGATGATCAGACTCTGGAAAGGAATGGTTGGCTTGGCAGGGAGTGCCCAAGAGCTGCCGATGCCGCTGCCGCTGCCGCTGCCGCAGCTGCTGCCACCGATGGTCCGAGCGATGGCGACGATGATGCTGACGATGATGGTGATCATCATCCACGTACTGCTCTTCAGCCCACCGACGCTCGCGAGAGAAATGACTCATCATACGATCATCATCTTCCAGAAGCCACCGAGTTGTCGGCGTGCGACTGCCGCTACCAACATCCAACGTCAAGGACGGAGGCGATGGCGGCGCCTCCGAGGGGGAAACGGAGGAGGAGGAGGAGGAGGAGGAGGAGGAGGAGGAGGTGGCGGTAAGGATTGTGACCGAAGCACACTTCAGGTTCGTGTCTTCGACACACCACGACACCGTTAGTGTGAGAGCGAACAGGAACTGTGAAATACTAAGACGTCGCCACGCTCCGCGGCTCGCTACCCGCTTCGTCGTCGTCGTCGTCGTCGTCGTCGTCTTCCTCTCCCCCCTCATCCTCCTTATTAGCATCAGAGTCATCATCATGGCCACCATCTTCATCATCCTTGTCATCGTCGTCGACGTCGTTCTCATCATCATCGTCATCATCGGGACCGTCTGAACGTCGTCACGTAGAGGAACTAAGGGCGTACTCACACTATAGCTCTATCTTAAATGAATTTCACCACATTTAAGGCCGGATGCGAATGCATCTGACCTTAATTACGTCCATAAAAGTCCTAATGTGATCATGGCCTGACCTATAGAAAAAAAAAATGGTGAAGTCAGACACATGCCCAAACGCATAGGCATACTTGCTAATTACACCAACAGTCCGCTTGCCGGCTTCCGGCGGCGAAGGTGGATGCCTCACGGCTGTCTACCACCAGGCACATACATATACATGGATACATAGAGATACACACATACTAGTCGGGAATTGAACTCACGGGCTCTCGACCCACAGTCAAGACGAGGAGAGAGCCACGTGAGCGATGCAGCGGGAGGAGGGAGGCTACGGCTCATCCCGTCCAGAGCTATGGTGGTGTCACACGGCCCCGGCAAAGAGAAATGTTTGTCAGGAGTTGAACTCATGACCTCTCGACCGACAGTCAAACGAGGAGAGAGACCCGTGAACCAGGCAGCAGGAATAAGCAGGCAACGGCTCATCCCGTCTAGAGCTATGGTGGTGTCATACGGCCCAGGCAAGAAGCAACGGTCCACAGACATACTACACAGGATTTGAGCCCCTGACCTCTCGACAGACAGTTTGAGGGGGGAGGGAGACAAGCGTGAAGATGCAGCAGGAGGAAGGAGGCAACGGCTCATCGGCGCTGTCAAATGTCAAAGCGCAATGGTCGACAGACATAACAGCCGATATTTCAGTTCTGTTACTGAATCACGAAAGCAGCTCAGGCAGGAATTGAACTCATGACCTGTCGACAAACAGTCTAGACTCTAGAGTTAGTAGAGAGATATGCGCCACGATGCAGCAGGAGGAAGGAGGCAAGGACTCGTCACGTCCAGATCTTTGGTGGCGTCACACCGCCGTGAATAACGAACAAACCTGTCCCCCCAC